TTTTGCACTCAATGTTTTAATGTTCATTTAATTTAGAATTTCCTTCATTCCCTACCACTATTGTAAGATATTTACTTTTCACCTAACTTGTAAAATTAAAAAGTTTAGAATTCTTTACAAAATCACTCAGGCGAAGTGATTGCCTTTTATTTAAATCTTATTTAGAAGGTATTTTTCTTAAAGTATTTCATTTAAAGTTTTTATCATTTTAAGTTGAAATGAATGTCGCCCTGCTTTGCATAGTTCAAAAATTATTTCAAAGGAAACATAACTTAACATTAAACACTCAGGACTTACAATTATAAATCAAACAATCACTACATTTATTTATTAAAAAACACTCTTATGAACTGATAATAAATTGATCTAAGTCCTAAATGTGAGTTCTATAATATATAATTTATTTAAACTCAGTATATACATCTGACCTCTGTTGTCGCCAATGGCTCAATTTTAAAATATAGTTTTTCTTTTACAAATTTTCGGATATTTTCATATGAAGGATAGTATTAAGTTTGAGAATTAAAAATTTTTGTTTAAAAAAGTTGTTAAAAATTATAATTATTATTAATACTTGACAACAGGAAGTTTTCAATTAAAGGTTGAAAATTTTTTTAATTATGTTATTTTTTAATTCTGTTATTTTTTTAATTATGTTTTTAATTACCTAATTCATATAACAGTATTTAGGAATCTATAAATTTATGCTACGTATGATCGTTGCAGAATAACCTGCACCCAATATATGTAAATAAAATATATTTTTAAAATTGTGCATTTTCTATTAATTGCATTTATTATTCTTATACTGAAAGAGTATCAAGGTATCTATGACCTCCATAATAAATGAAGTATTTACGGACTTTTGTGTATATTAAGGAATTGAATCATTTTTTTACGAAGTTTAAGATCTCATCCCATTAAAAGAAGAGTTTTCTAATAAATATTTTTTTACAATAAATGCTTCTAGTAATAAAACAAACGCGATATAGGTCATTGAAGAAAAATCCATTCATTTGTACATTTTTCCCTTCTTGAAATTATTTCACATATTTCTTTTTTCACTAGCGAATTTCCGATTACTTTAAAATTTTAAAAATATCGATTTTTTTATTTGCAAGAAATTTTTACTTTAAAGCGTGATAACATTTTTGAATACTCCAATTTTTTTTTCTAATAAATAATATGTCTTTGTTAATTTCTAAAAAAAATGTTCATAAAAAAGTTTACATTATTCTTTTATCAAGATTGATTTAACAGAGAAAATCACTAAATTAAAACAGGTTATGTTTTCTTACAATAAAAGTTAAATAGAATTCCTTAAAATAGCGTTCCAATAAAACATGGTATTAAAATGTTACGTTATTTTTATTGGTTCATTAATAAATTATTTTTATTTCTTCACAAACACAATTCTTGCAAAAAAAATTAAATCTGTTATATCAAAAAACTAGATCGTTTTATAAAATACAAATTATTGCGCTTAATAAAATATAAATACAGTTTATTTGTAACGTGATCCTAAGAATAAAAAGGATATTTTCTTTTTTAATTCTCTACTAAACTGAATTAATGAGTTATTTTTATTCTTCATGGCTAGTCGAGGAGGAGAAAAAAATATCGAATTTCACTGTTTAGGTTAATGTAATTTCGTTCTCCCACCACATTTAAGCGTAATCCATCGCCAATTCCACTTGCAATCGCCTAGTTTACAATCTACGGTATGTTTTGTCAATTCGCCTTCGGTGTATGTCCAATAAACTATATTGAAAAATATTATACTAACACTTCATAGAACACCCTCCATGATTAACCAAATAATCTTTTAAAGTTAAAAAAAAATACCGTTTTTGGGACATGGTGTTCTTTACCGTTAGCCTGCATATTTCTTGAAATGAATAGGTACATACAAACAAATTGACGATCCCTTTTAAGTTTGAAACATGATTCAAGCGAATTGGGAATTGAAAAATATTATAAAAAATCAAAAAGTACCTTATGTTAGCCATTTATATGCTTCTAATTTGGTATATTTTGGATTAAACAAAATATTTTAGAATATTTTGCATAAATATTTCTATACAAAATATTATGCTGTTGTTGTTGTTGTTTGGCAGTCAAAAGTGTGTTGTAGTTTCTAATGCCTTTTGCCACACGGGCAAGCCTGCTTGGTGAAACCGAGCAAATTTAAGGCAGAGTGTGCATTTCAGTGGTGCCATCCATGGCTAAGAATTCGACTTCTGCCACACCATTCGTCGCACCCGTTTATAGGGCGGACCCATTCATACATACATTCATTCATCCATAGATCGTAATTTTGACCTGAATCAGAGAACGATCGATCTCCAATCCGGTGCCCCCAGAGTTATTGATTTGTTGTGGGAACATGGAGGAGTTTTGCGACTCGACAGATTCAACGCGCACCAGTCACTTTACTACGCGCACTACCGACCAGGCTATCCCGGCCTAATAGTGTAATTTTGTTATGGAATTTAATTTTAAAGTAAGTTTTGCTGCGTTTTATTCTTATGTATTAGTCTTGATTTTATACTTTTGTATTTGCTTTATGTATTTTAAGTTTTGCATTGTATTTTCTTCCTGGACTTTGGCAAAATCTTTGGGGTACAGAGAGAGCAATTTTGACATTTGTCGTGCTCTCTCGATAGAAAAGGTTTTGCATTTATGACTTCCGGAGCTGGTACCACCTGAAGACGTCAGCTTCGGTTGTCGTATTTTTTCATAATTTTCATTTTTTCATTTTTCATTGTTTCTTTTGTATAATATTTAAGATATATTAACAGTAAAAATTTTGCAAAGTGTTCATTCTTATGTTAGCAATAACATATGAACTTTGAATGTTTGGATTGCACAAATTCTTTTTAAATCATTTGCATAAATACTTTTTGACATGTATGGGTATTCACAAACAAATTATTGTTCCTATTTAAACAGGAAAAAAAGTTTAAAAGGGCAGCAAAAAATTATAATAAATTCGCAAATTATCCACAGTTAAGTCGTCTCCCATTTAAGTCTGATTTGAGCTTCGGATGCTTGGACTAAATATTATTTTTTAAATTTGTAATAACATTTTTTTTTGCACGCGAGGATATTTTCTAACACTCACCACATTTCAAATGAATTACGCTTTAAAAAAATTTTGTCTGGCAGTTTTTTAAAAAAATAGCAAAGTGTCGTGCTATATTTTATCTAAAAATACACTTAGAAAATAAAGTGTTTTTGCAAGATAAGTTTTGTTTCTAATTTCCTATAAATACTTCATCACACATATAGACATTTCCGAATTAATTGATGCTCAATTTTCCATAATGAAATAAATTTTAAATGATTACTGCATTGTAAAAAATGTTAAAAAAATTGTCAATGGGCCTACTGTGTTAGTTAAATATTTATGAAGAATAATGTGAATTGATTTCTACATGAGACCTTCCAATGTTTTATTAATTATGTATTTTAAAGCTTGGTCAATTTTTATTTCTTCTTTGTAACAAGCTAATATAGTAAGTTACCAATCAATGCTAATGCATACTGGTGTTTTGGAAACAATATTGATGATTTTTAATTACTCCCTGAATATTTCAAGATGGATATGTTCGATGTTTGTTTTGAATTTGAAAAAAACTATGATTATACTAAACAACGAGCAATTTTCTTTTAAAATATGTTTTGATTGAAGCATCATTTGATGTTTCAGACTAAAAATTAAAATAAAATGTAAATTGAAATAAAATTCATATTTAAATAATAAAATTGGAGATTTTTTTTCAAATTTTAGTAACTGCTCAGAATTCATGGCCCGTGGTATTGTATATGCAATTTATTCCTGTAATTTATTTTCGGTAATTAACTAACTATAAACGACGTTTAAAAAAGTAATTTTTGTCTAAAACAATAATTTCATCTTACAGTTTCAGAATAATATTTTCCCAAATTTTACAATATTTCTTGAAGTCCTGTATCCAAACTGAATATAAATCTGTTTTGAGGGGAAATGAAAAAATAAATAATTAAACCATTAAGAATAAATATTTATTTACACAAATATGAATAAACAGAAAGAATAGTCAATCTATGGAGCAAAGTATGGAGGGAATTGTATGCAATATTTTAAAACAGACTTTTGGCAATAGTTGTAGTTCTCGTTTTCTCTATACATCTTTATTTTTCTTTCATTTATGTGCCCTATTATAAAAATTTATTTCAAAATTAAAAGAAAGTACTATACAGTCTTAGAACATACAAAATATGCTTCAATTATCGTAGACATCTAAATATTATTTAAGAAAATGTAAAAAAACTAAAACATCATAGCGAAATTTGTGTACCAAAACCGCAAAAGCAGTTTCAGACACATTTGTCAACTTTATATTAGTTGCACTTTGTCAAGTTAATATTATTGTCTAAAAATAAGCGGTAACTTTAGAAGAAATTAGAGTGTACCCTAATGTAGAATAATTCTAGAGAGTAATGAAAACAAAATTACGGAAATTTAGCTAATAAGTATACGAAGTCAACGGCCATACCATGATGAAAGTACCAGTTCTCATTCGATCATCGAGGTCAAGCATCATATGGAGCGTGATCAGTGTTTCGGAGTGACCACCTGGGAACACCGCATGCCGTTGGTATAATATCTTTGAGCCGTTGTGGCTCATGAGATAGAGCGTTTGTCTCCCAAATGAGGTGAATCAGGTTCGAATCCCAGAGGTGGCTGGTTGCAGGCTGATATAGACCATAGTGCTGACATAAAATATCCTCAGTGGTAGACGAATCATGGGTTAGAATCCTTTTGGCATCGTGCTAATAGTGGAAGGTTAACGTAGTCTTACTCTCCGTGCAACGTAAATGCAGGATAGTGCCACCAAAAAGTCATCCACGAAGGCTAGTTTGTCCTAATACTCCAGGAGATCTCTTGTCTTCTGAGTTGGGCTTGAAATTACAAGGCTATACGGAGTTAAATATTGAAATTTATTTACAAAAATTTGGGTTGGTGTTTTAACTCCGGTTATGAAATAAAATATAAACTAATATTAAACAAATATTTTAATTTCATTAAAACACTGACAGTAATTTAGCAACACCTGAGCTTCTTTGGCAGTCTGTTTGGCAAATCTTCTTGGAAAATATGTTTTGTGGCGTAGACTTTCGTATACCTTATTTCATGATGATATTTTTTCAAAAATTAATTAATATGTAATTACGTAGAAATGACTTTCCTTAATAATGAATTGTTAATAATTGTCCGCATAAGTGTAACCATTTACTAGATTATTTACAATGCCATAGCCTAAGCCTGAGACATATCCAACATCAGCATGTCCATAAGTAGCTTGAGCAGTAGCAACCAAGGGAGCAGCAACACCATGCCCAAAAGTTTGGGTTGTATGAGCAATATTAGCCGGTGCAGCGTATGGACTGGCGATGACAGCAGCAGCTGGTATACTGGCAGTAGTTCCGGGCTCATTGGTCTTGACAACAGCTCTGAATCCATGTCCGTCAGCAACGTATTCAACCTTTCTTGCTCGTCCATCGATGTCAGCGAGAGTGTATGATCCCTTCTTGTTTCCATGAGCATCTCCTACTTCAGATCTGGAGTTGGTGGCTCCTTTGCCATCCTTGATGTCATATCCAAAAGCATAGTTGCCATGTCCCTATTAAATTTTGAAAAATATATTTGATTACAGCTTTTGGTTTTAAAAATAAATATACGTTTTAAGTAAAAGAAATAACAGATGTCATTCTTACATCTTGAACTTGTTGCCGGATGCTGACTCCAGTATTGATTAAATGTCCAGAAGGGATGATACCGGCATTGGTGGCGGCGAAGATAGCGAAGAGAATGAATACCTAAAATTTTTCTAGGATTTAAATGTGCATTTATCTTGGTTGCAACTAAATGTAGGTTTACTGTTGTTAACAGTAATCCGAATTTGTTATTTGTCATTTAGACCAAATTGAAGGAAAGTTCGTTTTATACAAGCATTCAAAAAACGTCTGGAAATGTTTTGATTTTTACAGCAGTTGTTTAACGAAGTTTTAAAATACCGAAAAATATAAAAAGTATTAAAAATACAAAGAATCTGATAAAGCGTACTTATCAGACGTGTTCCTATACATTAACCTACAGTTCATGGAAGAGTGATAGATTTTAAAGTTTTTTTAAATCTCTGAAATACAAATAGGATTCTGTAATTTTAGCGGCATTTAGTTCAGGCAATTTTTCATACTTAACAATAACGCTTAAAGCTTTCTGCAGTTTGAGGGACTTGCAGCAAATTAAAAAAGAAGATAAGTATTTTTGAACACTTCATGCCAGAAAATCAAGCAATAATTGCTTGTGACTTGTATCGATAATTTTGGTTCTTATTTGCATTAACTGCATAAAAGTTTGTGCAAATATCTTATACTAGGAGGCTTCGCCCCCTGCTCGCTGGCGCTCACCAACCCCCGGAACTGCTTTCACAGTTCGTTTCGGATTGCTTCGCAATCCAATGCTCGCTTTACTCGCTCATTGGATATGTTCTTAACGTCTAGTTTTTGTATACTTTTTTGACTACTGAAGTTCCGAAAACTTTTCCCTGTAGAAAATTCTAAACCTGTACATTTCAATATTAATTTGAAATTGCAAACAGTTCACATATTTTTCTTAATCACACGATTCTAAATTTCAGTTGTTGAGAAAAGTAACTGTTGTAAGTTTTGTTTTAAAGTCTTTCCCACCAGAGGGCTAAA